GAGAAAGAGAGAGAGAGAGCGAGAGCGAGGGCGGGCGAGAGAGAAGGAGAGACGAAAGCGACACAGAGAAGAGCCGAAGCACGCATAGATGGACAAACGGACAGATAATCGGATTCGTGACTCTTTCTCATCCGTATAATGGCAGCCCGCAGCAGAGGACCCGAATGAATTCATCCGCACAGCAAGCGATCGAACCTTGTGGCCCTTGCTCCTCAATGCATTGCAAATGCCTCAACCGTTTGCGCAGATAAAAGTTGGCATCTGTTTTTTCTAGATACCAGTACATGTTACCGGAAGATGGGTTGGCATGCAACCAGAAACTTTGCTGTTGTTCTCTGAATTGTGAAGCCAAAGCCTCATGAACCTAGAGAAAAATAACCACAATTCTCGTGCCGGGCGCGATGCTAAGGATTGGCGTCACATGGCCCATCAGAGGCAGGGAGTAGCAGATGATGGGTCGCTTGCGCCCGACCTTGCTCCTCAGCTCTGGTGCGGGTTTATGGAGGTCAGAGCTATCGGCGTGGTGCCCTGAAGTGCGTTGCTACAAACGTGTGCAGGTGGCCAATTTTCAATTTCGCTACATGTTGTCGCGTCTTCGGGTCAGCAAGGGAAGAGCCCGAAGCCGCAATTGAGGCAAGCAGCTGCTGCTCTTGTGCTCCAGCCACATGCTGAGATTCTGCCTGCCTCTTCATGTTCGCTGCAGCCCTTGGGCTGGAGGGGTCAGAGCCAATGCTGCAGCGAACATAAAGAGCAAGAGAGCCTCCGTGAAGTCCTCCAGGCTTTAGCAGACAGTGCGGGAGAATCCATCAGGGCTTTCCGAAAGAACTGGGCATAGCCCGCAACGATTCGGAGCAGGAGCAACGGCTAGCTAGAAAAGCTCCACTGCAATCACGAGCTGGGTGTCCATCTAGGCAACTGTGTCCCAGTATGTGAGGTGGAATCGCGGGCGCGCACGGCTGTCAGCAGGAGTCGATGCAACCGGAACCCTGAACCTGCATCTCAGAGTTGGGGGTCACAGATATCCCAAGCCACCCAAGCATCTCTGACTGCCAAGTGACAAGCTGGTAGAGGGCTGAGCAAGGTTGCAATACACGACTTCCCGGAGGTCCTGGTGGAGATAGAATACTTCCAGCCTTTTGCACCTTATTGCTGCGGAAGTACGCATACATGCATACATTCATACATGAGCTTGAATTCGCTGCCCGAAGTCTACAAGTGTCGAGACAGGCGTTGATTTGCCGCCCCGGCCGATTTCCTACGGCGCGCATTGACACTCTCACAAAACATGTGCCTGGGACCGAAGGCCGTGAAGGCACAACTCAGGCGGTGTTTTCTTCAATTACGCGTGTGCGTCTGCGCGCGTGTAGAAGCTGTGCAGCGCTTTTGCTAAAAAAACACGTAGTATCTTGCCTTTCCCTGCGTTCGTTACACTCTCGCTACTCGGACTCCGCCAGACGAGGTCTCTTGGGTCGATTACTCACAACGCTACGGCAACTACTGTCTGGGAAAAGGATGGCACCACAGGAACATCTAGGGAATCTAATCCAAGATAAGTTCGCTGAGGGCTTCAAATTCTTGGGGCATCTGACGCTCAGTCAGTCGGCTTTGCAACAGCTTCCCGGTTCTCGGGTCTGAGGCAAAGGATGCATCACCATCGCCGGCTCCTCTGTTTCGGCTGCCTGGCCTTGGACACGTGGGATGGCAAGTTGCTGCGGAGCCCTGAGAAAGAGATGCGGTGCCACAGTTGCAAAAAACAAATCAGTCCCCCACATGTGATCTCAAAATACGGCAATCGATGTGATGCGCGACTGAGTAAATGAGTTCGGACTCTCTGTGACTCATGTGTAAAAAACGGTGCGTAGCAGCATAGACGCTAGTCACGAAGCTCGTTTTCCGACAGAGCAAGTGGCTGAAGAGCTTCTCGTAAAGCATGGGCCCCCCAGTTGCGGGATCCGCCTTGGCGACTGGAGAACTATCGAGGACTTGCCACCCGAAGCTACTGCGGAGGGAGATCGTCGCGGCGGACAACCATGTAGAAACTGCAAAAGAACCTTCCTGCGAGCACCGCATGGTGCCAACATTGGGCAGTAATGACGAAAAAGGATGACGAACGTCCACAATGCTTTCGGGACACCCCTGTCGAGTTGAGCGCGAGGCCAGGTTCTAACACATGCTGTAAAGCTTAAAAGCGCTGACTTTTGCTGCCCGGCTTCTTGCCTCTCGGCTGGCTCCTTGCAGGGAGCCGGAGCCGACACCTTGAGGGCTTTTTGAGCAGTCATTGCCCAGGGCCCAGCAGGGTCTTACTTTTAACGTTTGCCCCGGACTTGAGGTGCCCCTTTTCACCGCACATTAAGATGATGTAAAGCCATCCGACAGTCCTTGCAGGCTATGGTCATCTTGGCAAAGTTGCAGGTGCTGACTCAGGACTACGCTGGCAATGGCAAGGCTTGCCCGTCAAAGCCATGGGGCTGGTTGTCGAACGGAGGAGTTCTTGGCAGCTGCGGCAGCGGTGGATGGCTTCCGCACCTACGCACGAGATCGCGTCTAAATACGGCCATGACCTTCATCTGCTGGATAGTTGCTGACTGGCATTGAGTACACGTCCTTGAACTCCAGCCTCCGAGCCGCGCGCCTTTCGCGATGGTGGGGAACCGAATCGCCTCGGCGTGACGGAAGACGGTCAGTTTGCCATCATACCATGTCATAGAAGTACCCCATCATAACATGATCCGAACTTCACATATGCCTGGACACGAGGTGCCTTGTGGCTAGGTGATGCGCCTGCTCTAGCAAAGCATGCAGTGCCACGGAGTTCAATCTCAGCGTCTCCCTTCCCAGCAGCTTTGGCGAGCTCTTGGACGCCGTGTCGCGATGCTCACGCGGCATCTCCCTCAGTCGTAGCGAAATACCCGAAGCTACGCTACTTGAGCAACCTTCACGAAGCGCGCAGGATCTCAGATGCAGCGGCTGACGCCAGCTATGCAATGGAGCGAATCTGAAGATTCGCGCAAAAGCTCACAAAGCCCACAGCATTGATCAAGGCGCGTTTTCTTCGACAGCCGCCCTCGAGCCTCTAAGATGCGGCGCATGATCGGAATCCTTGTTGCAAGCATTTGCAGGGGCCATGACAGGCTATGCCCATGCAGGAAGGCTGTGACTGTCGTCGAGATGGATCCACAGGAAGTCACAGCATAAGTTGCAAAGCTCCATGCACAGACACATGCGCTGTTCTCCGGAGCATCAACGTCAGTAGGGTGCAGAATCTTGCAACTGCAGCATGATGCCCTGCAATAGATACACAATGATACACAACATTCCGGAAGAGACTCCGTTTGCATTTACACTGAGGTATACCCTGATGACGCATCAAATCAGTAAAAGTCCTGGTCGGAACATGAAGATCTTGAAAGCACCGTCGCCTCATCGCACATTATTGTGCACAAGACGCAACTTCCGACGGACAAGTTCAGACAATCGCCTGGATTTGCTGACACAAGCTACTCTGGGCTAATCGCTTCCTCTTCGCTAGAAACCATTTGAGAGCAGCCCATAGCGGAAGGGCTACTGCTGCTGCCGCCGCCGCTGCTGCTGCTGCTGCTGCTGCTACTCCTACTCCTACTCCTACTCCTACTCCTACTCCTACTACTACTACTACTACTACTACAACAACAACTACTACTACTACTACTCCTCTTCTTCT